GTCGCTCTGTCTCTGTCGCACCGATGCGGCTCTCCATGAGGGTGCGAGAGAGACAGAGCGAGAAACCAATCCTCTGAATCGCTCGGCAGGCCGGCAGGCCGCAGCGCAGTTCCTGTCCCGCGAGTTCACGTGCCGGCGGCAAGGCGCGGCGCGGCGAGGCGAGGCGGCGCGCGAGTGCACGTACGTGTGTGCATGTGAGTGTCTGTGTGCCGCTGCCTGTCTGGTCGACCCCGAGCTTTGCCCCGCGTGCGCCCACTCCGCGCGCGACTGCCTGTGTGAGTGTGTGTTTGCGTTCGGTTGTGTCGTGTGGAATACGCTGCCTGCCCGTTTTTCAGCGTGCTTCGGCCGCTTCGGCGTGCTTTCGACCAGCCGAGTGGCGGGTCGCGTCACGCCCCGGGCCACTCTCTCTGTCTGTCTTTGTTCGTCGCCGTCGTGGTGCCTGCCCGCGGCGTCCGCCCGCCCCCGCCTTTCCCTTCGTCTGTCACAGTGTACCCGGCGTGCCTAGTGTAACCGGTGTACCCGGTGAGCCTAGTGTACCCGGGTCGGGACCGCGGGGTGGGGCCAATCATCGGACTTCGCCCATCACTGCGCGCGATGCGAGCGATGTGATGCGCGGCCGTGTTGTGTGTTTTGTGTCGGTGCGGTGCGCGGGGCGCGGGTCGCATTCACACACGCGAGTAATCTGCGCACGGCATCCCTGGAAACACACAACGGAAAATGCGGGTGAACAAATAGGAGCCGCGACGCGAAAAGAAAAACGATACAACGGTGGAATGGAATCAATTCCATGTTAATTAACTCGGCTGGGGGGGGGGGGCAGTTGCGTCGATGCGGGCGCGCACATAGACACACACACAGGCTTACGCGTGCACGCGCGGCGCGGCTGGCGCTCCCGGTCCGCTCCGCGCTCCGCGCCGCTCTCACCGTGGATCTGGTTTGCCATCTGCAGCGCCGCTTGCTTCGCTTGCGCCGCGCTGCCTTCGCCTTGAGAGCGGCAAAACGACTTTGACTGGCTGCGCGGCTACGCGGCTGGAGGACGGAGGCTGGCGCTGGAGGCGCGCACCGCGCTACGCGGACGACGGCAGTCGAAACCGGAAGGGTTCTCCCCTCCCCCTCCCTCAGGTGTCTGGCTGGTGTCTCTGGTTTAGACTGTACTGTTGAATAGTTGACGAGCCCACTCGGCGCCTTTGTCTTCGTCCAGGCCAAGGGCCGGGCAGGCCGGGCAGGCCCGCGACTCTGGCGGCGCCGCGGAGTGCAGCAGTGCAGCGGGAGGGCCTAGGGCTCGGCCTACGGCTCGGCCTAGGTCGAGGGCCTGCAGCAGGCTGCAGTACGGACTCCAGCTCCAGGCCGCATCGCGGGACGCGGCGCCCAGCGGAAGTTCGCGGCGGCCATTGTTTGTGCCTCGCGCTGCCTCACGCACGCCACTTTGCATTGCGCAACGGCAACCGCGGTGTGGCCGTGCCGTGTCGCGTGGCGTGGCGGGGGCCACTCGTGCTCGTTTGGCCTGGCCGCCACGGCCGGCACGGCAGCACACTTGGAAGGGTTGGGCTCACGGGGACCACCCGACCACCCCCACCCTCCCTTTCTCCTTTCTCTCTCTTCAGACTCCGGGGCTTTGACGTCAGCTGGACTGCAGCAGTGCCAGCAGTGCCCCCCCCCCCCCGTGAAATCTTTGCTTGTCCTGGCGGCCCTTCTTTTTGTGCGCTCTCCAGTCTCCTCAACGCCACGCGTTGCCGAGGCCGCCGAGGCCGCCACTGGCCGCCACCCCACCCGGCCCCGCGGCCTACTCCGCCGCCCCGCTGGTCCCCGCTGGTCCGCGCCCCGATCGACTCCAGCCCCGCGACACATGTTCGCCGATGTTCCAAGAGCGGAGCCTCGTTGGCATGCACATGCGTTGCCAGTAAAAAGCGATGGGGAATCTCGGACGTCGAAGCGCGTCGCGTTGGGCCCGGTTGGGCCGCGTTACGCTCAGCATGCGGTGCCTGCTAGCAGCGCTCTTTTTGCTGTGGAGGCAGAGAGTCGTTTTCGTCGCTCTGTCGCTCTCGCACATATACGGCGCGCCCCATGAGTGCGAGAGGGACAGAGCGACGTAAACGACTCTCAGTCTGCTGGGCCGCGGTGCCGCGGGGGTTGCCTCGTGGGGCGGGGTGCATCCGGCGGGGCGCGCGGTCGCGTGGCGCTTTCACACCTCAGTGGCTGGCTGGCTGCATTGCGGACGGGGCATTAATGAACGGCCCTGAAGCGCGGGGTACCCGCGGGGTATATCGGCGGTGGCGTACTGCACTGCGGGGCGCCCCGGTGGTGGCGGCGCGTGGCGGGGGCGCTCCACGTGCTGGGCCTGCCGCGCCGCGCCCCGCCCCGCCCCGCTCTGTAACCCTGACCTAAATGCGGAGGGGGTGGCGGCGGGGGCCCTCGCGGGGAAGCCAGGCCCAACGCGGCCCTAGACTGCCTCGCCGCGCCCCGCCGCGCCGCCCCGCCCCGCCCCGCCCGCCCCGCCCCGCGGAACGACGCTGCCGCGCTGCCAACCCCGCCCGGCCCAGCCCGGCCCGGCCCGTCCCAGCGACCCCGTTTCGCATCCACCACAGCGAGCAGCGCCCGGCCTGGCCAGCCTCGTCCCTTGCAGCCTGCGCGCCGCCCATCGGCCCTTCGGCCCGTGGGCCCTTCGGGAAGGGAGGGCCGGGCCCTTCGGCCGGGCCTCTGCCGACACGGCGACACGCGGCGCTTGGGGGCGGAGCGGGGCAGGCGGGGCAGGCGGGGCCCATGGTCCCGTGGGGTGGCGCCGCCGCCGCCGCGCCGCCGTGGTCCGTGTGCTGTTGTGGTTATTGCGTTTCGGGAGGAAACCAACGCCCAGTAAATTACAGTACAGCTTGCTGTTTGTTTTTTGTCGCGTTTGTGGCGGGGCCGAGCGGGGCGGCGTGGGTGCGGAGGGGCGAGGTGAGGGGGATGCGGCAGAGGGGTGTGCTCTCTGTGTCACGCCCCCTCCCCCTCTCCAGCCATTTGTTTTCGCGAGGGACCTGACTCGACTCCGTGCTTCGTCCCCGCCGCCCTTGGTGCGCCCTTGTGGGGCCGCTAGGCCGTGCAGGGAAGGACCGACAGTTTGAAGACCATCCTCCCCCTCCGCGGCCCTCCCCGCCCCGTCCCTGTTGCCGCGGCTCGCGGCTCATCTGTCCGTTAATAAAATATGGCGCGAGGCGCGGCCGGGCCGGCGTCTCGTCCGTCTCGTCTCGCTCGGTGTCGGACACCGGCGTGGCTGGCGGCGCGGTGGCGTCGGGTGGGTGGAGCGGCCGCCCTCGCCGCGGCGTTTGAGGGTAAGTGCTGTTTGGTGTTGCCGAGTCCCACGGGGGCGGCTGGGGCTGGGGCCGGGCGGACGGGGCGTTGCCGGGGAGTGCGGCGGAGAGGGGACCACCGTCCGTGCGCTCCGCTGCCATGGCTGCCCAGGCTGCCCCCGAGCCCCGAGGCCCCCGAGCCCCGAGGCCCCCGTCAAAGCGAGTCGAGGGGCGCGCTGCTTCGCTGCTTTGCGGCGAGCTGGCGGTAAGACGCGGTCCCCGCGGTCCCCGGTGCAGTCACCCTCCTCGGTGCCCACGTCCTGGCCGTCCTGGCTGCCCCTGACTCCACTGCGACATTGGCGTTCAAGGCTGGACCGTCGTTAAGCTAGGCAGGCTGGCAGGCTGCTTCCGAACACAGGTGTCTCTCTCGCGCTCGTGGAGCGTCCCGTGGGGACGCGAGAGAGACAGAGCGGCCGGGGCTAGCCGGCCGTTCCTAGGGGACACCCCAGGGGGCATCCGGCGCGGTTCCGCGTCAGCAGCGTCGGCACGCTGATGGCGTTGACGAGCGGCGCGACAGTTGTCCGCGGCCTGGCCAAGTGCCTGGCCAAGTGCCTGGCCAAGTGCCTGGCCGGGCGGCTGTCCTGGTCGATTGGGCTGTTGACGGCGTGCTGCAGGTGTGACGCGCGCCCGCAGGGCCCGCAGGCGGCCGCGGTTGCTAAGGCTGGACGACCCGTCGACCCCCGACTGTCCTGTCCAAGTCCTGTAGTCGTCCCGTCCCATGGGAGTGCACTCAAAGTTCCGGCGACCGAAATGCGGAAAGAGCGTGGAAGAAAAGGCGGCGCCTGCGACGTGGTGCGGATCGCGGAGGCCCTGTTGGGCTGGGCGGTCGCGGCGTCGGCGACGACCCGCAGTCGAGACGCGACCCTCGATTAAATCCGCGGCCGGTTTATTGGCGCCATTAGTCGGAATGAAAATGTAGTTTCCCGCTTGCTGCTGCTCCGTCGCTCCGTCTCTGTCTGATCCGCGGGGCGCCCGCCCGGTGTTCCGCAGGGGCGCGAGAGAGACGGAGTGGCGGGGCGGAGCGGGGCGGGGCGGGGCCGAGGCGCACGGCCGCGCGCGGCGCTGTGCAATGGCACCGCGGTGGCGGTGGCGCCTGCCTGGCTCCGTGCTCTATTGTACTTTCGCTAGTCGGCCGCTCCATTCCATGTAATGTTCTGAGGCGGGGGCGGGAGCGGGAAGGGAAGGACTGTTGGTGTTGCGGGCTTGCCGGGCCTGCCCCTTCCCCTGGCTGGCTGGCTGGCTGGCTGGCTGGCTGGCGGCCGCGCCGCCACGCCACGACGCAGGGCTGCGCAGGCTGCGCAGGGCGCGGACGGCACCTACTCCACTTGGCTTCCCCACCCACCCTTGGGCTGCCGCTCTCTCTCTCTCTCTCCCTCGCATCGTATTGATCGAAGGGAGCGGAGCACGGAGCGCGCGGCTTGCCGTTCTGCCGTGCCCATAAGAATGCTGCTGTTCCCGAAGGGAAGGGTGGGAACGGCGCGTCACATTCAGTTTACATTTTAACATGCAAATAGTGAATAAAACAGATTGTCGATGTCAAATTTGATGTTCGGCTGCAATACTATTAATAAAAAATCTTCTAAAAAAATCCTTTTTTTTTTTTTTTTGCTTGACCTGCTTACTCAGTCAAAAAATAGTCGTCATTGATAATAGCATTTTTTCTTCTTTTCACAGGTTAACCTGAAGTTGATATTGGTCAGCGGAAAGACAAAAGAATTCCTATTTAGTCCAAGTGAATCTGCTGGAGACATTGCACAGCATGTCTTTGACAACTGGCCAGAAGGTAAGCTGCATGTTTCATCCTGATATAAAAATAAAAATAGTCTACTCAACTAATGTATAATCAACATGTTTTGTGGTGTTTCAGATTGGGCGGAAGAAGCGGTAGCGAAGGCAGAAATTTTGCGGCTCATTTACCAGGGCCGCTTCCTGCACAGCAATGTGACCCTGGGGGCGCTGGGCTTGCCCTTCGGGAAGACCACAGTCATGCATCTTGTACCAAGGGAAAATCTACCTGAGCCAAACTCACAGGGTATGAGCGGAGAGTCACTCACTTCTATATGTTTTTGTTTTTCTAATATATGACTAACTGGCGATGTGTTTCTGTTTGTAGATCAACGGCAGAAGAGCAAAGGTGGAGGAAGCAGCTGCTGCTCGGCCGCATGCTGCATACTGTAATGAGTGCTCGGGTCGTCCACACCATGACTGAGAAAGGCTTAATCTCACTTTGCCTTCAACTACATTGCAGAACCCGTTTTCAAGTGACGTTCGGGACACTATAATCTAATTTTAATGAATTTAAAGTGTTTTTATGCTCTAGAAAATATCTGTGAAGTTACAGGGTTGAAAGGTGATTCCCCTTTGACCACCTGACCCGTGGTTTGTGTTATAATTATCTGTACCATTGCTGCGACTGTGATGAAGTGGAGTTGGAAACAACCATAAACTTATTTACACTCCTCTTCGAATGACAAACCTTTCCCGGTTACCCTTATGTGACTTGTGCTTGACTGAGTGAGTTCACATGTTGTGTATTGTGGAATATGCTAGAGTGTGAATATTATACATACAAATAGATGTATATAATAAAAATATAAATATATACATATATGTGTGGCTGTGTATACAAATGTGTGAGTGTATACATACAATTGTACAAGATTTATGTGAATGTGTAAAAATTGTGTGAAAGAAAGAGTGTGTGTTGCTTGTAAGAGTAAATGTTTGTATAAAGTGTGTTTTCTGGCAGAGTTGTGTGTGAGGATTGAAGTTTCAGCAGCATTTTTGTTTTTGTTATTATTTGGCAAATTTAAGTACAAAGAAACCGAATCTAATAGTTGATGTTATGTAGTGAGGTGCTTTGATTGTTTGATATGATTATCCAACTGTCTTCTTCTCTGTAGGGACAGCCACTGAATGAATTTGTTATTTTGCAGTCACAGTCTTGTTTTGCTTTTTTCTTTTCCTTTTTTTTTTGTTACATATTGAAAGTTGTGTGGTGCATTCGGATCAATTGAGTCTTCATTTATATCTCTACTGCAATTGGGCTGTAATTGCATGCTGAATTACTGGCTTGATCATAATCGTTTTATAGCAAAAAAACAAACCAAAAAAACTTATATAAATTTTTAAAATGAAAAAATGGGAACAAACACACCTTTGTTTACATCCTTTACTTTGCCTTAATGAATTTATTAATTCGGATTTAAAGATTTTGTTGGTCCCAATGATTTGTTAACATTTGTTCTCTTCCATTCTGTTATTGTATTGCCATTTTATGAGTTCATGAAGAGCACCTTCATTGTGTAAATTTAAATGTATCTTTCAAATTTACTTGCAGACTTAGGTGTATTGTTTGCATTGTTTGCAGACGCAATAACATATTTATAATACCTGCTATAGGCGCAAGTGCTACCGAGAACTTAAAATGTTTGATCTATTATTCAGTTATAAAAGTTCAGAGCATGTATTATTCATAAAATGTGTTTTTGGATGTTTTTGATCATAAAATTGTCACTTACTCTGTTGTCTGTCTCAGGGAGGCTTGCTATTTTCTAGTGTTGTTCTTTACTCTCATTTGGAACTTAAATTTAAAGGCATCACCTGAGCATCTACTTTGTCAAATGTTTGTGTTCTATGGGATAGAATGTTTATCCACCGGGTGGTTTTTGTGGTTTACTTCATAGATTTAGATTCATCACACCTGTTCTGGTAGAAATATTCAGTTTTGAATTCTTTTGTAAACTTACCCCCTTTCTTATTTTCCCAACCGTCTCAATGCGTTCTAAGCTGTTAATTTTGCCACTCATTCATGCATTCTATGCCTCTGCGCTTTTGTCAAATTGTTCACGTTGTATTTGTGCCTACTCAAACTTAATTTTTTTCAAACAATCTCTTCTTACTCTTGTCAAGTCACAAATATGTAGCCCATACCTATCACAAAATGCCAATGAGTGAATTATATAAGTAGAATGTCATATCTCTCAAATTAGAGATGTGATGTTATCTTATTTCTGTTGGAAGCCAAATAAACTCTGGCTAATATCTATATTTTTCTGATGTGTGTGAACTTTTTACCTGACGTAACTTTGAATACTGTACTTGATACTTCTGTTCCATACTTATTTCTGGGTTGAGCCAAGTTCCTGTTGAGTGATTTACAATGGATTTCTGTGATAGCCTGTAACTATCATCCTCTTTTTATCAGCTTGAAAGGCTTGAGCGCTTTTTAAAGTGCAGTGGTTCCTTGGAAATAAAATAATAGATACGGCTTGAAAAGAAATATTTATAGAGTGCAACTTGTATGATGCTTGTTTCTTGTTTCTTCCAAATGACTAGTAGTGATCCTCCTTGTACAAACTAAGCAGAAAATGGAGAAAGGCTTCACATCCAATGTTATGGTTTGAAATAATAAATTTAACTTCGTATTACAATGTAATGCATGCACGGTTTCTGAGTGGTGCATTTTTTATATTAGCCAATGACCTTGATCTCTTCTAGAAAGTATGTAAAGAGGCAGTTAGAGCAGAGGGTGTCCAGAGGTAATTTATTATCCTGGGAGAGCGATGTTAAAAACTTTATGTCTACCGAAAGACCCACAGCAGTCAAAACTCATGCTCTCCTTTCGCATCGTATGAATCTTCTATTTTTTGTTACTGTACCAAGTTTGTTTCTCCTGCACACGCACTTTGCAAATGCAGTGGGTAGGAAACAGTTCAAATTTGAGTTCTCCTGAATTTTCTGTCATTAAGTCTTGCCAGTAAAGAAAGTAGGATGTACATTATACTTTGTAAACTTAGTTTCTCACAAGAACTTCCACCTCAAAGTGGCATTGCTATGAAACCCAAGAAGAACTGTGGCAACCTGTAAATTTTTAAATTATTCATCATGTAAATAACAGATTTTGCTCATGTATACCTTGAGTTATGAACATTTTCTAGATGCCCAAGCTTTAAAATGTTAAGAATCATTTGATTCATAAATTCTCAGTGGTATTAACCGTCTTAGTGGCCTATTCAATTAAATTTCATGTGTGTACAAATGCTCCTTTCTCCTTTTTGTTGTTAATGAAAGGGAACTTTGTTGCATAGGAGGCAACTACAGAAAAGTGTTCATACAAACTAAATCCTAGTGTATAAAGTATTTAAAGAAGCAGATTATATTGTCAGTTAATCGTGTGCAGTCTTTCTTTTTAAAACCCTGGATAATGTTATCATTTTTTTACAGTATTGCTTTACCACAGACTCCCCCCTCCCTTTGAATTAGTTTTTTTTTTCCTAGTAACTATTCTTGATAGAATTCTTGTTTTTCCCATTTAGGTGAAGTCCCTTCAGCCACTATATGATTTGTACACATGAATTCATTTGAAAAACTATAGCCAGTTTTTGAAAGCATCTTGAAGTTGAAGCCAAGATATTCTTTAGAATGTGCCAAAATGCCTTGGTAGGCTACAACTATCTTTATGCACAAAATATGCTTCACATTCACAATACTAATTGTTGACAGTTAGCACAAGCACTCTTCGGTACTTTGAAAAGCATACCGATAATGCACACGCTTCTCTCCGATAACTATTCAAAATCAATCTACAATCAAGCCTGGCTCAAAATAATGTCTGCCCGTAGTTTGCGTGGAATTATGACCAGTGAAAAAAGAATACAGCAGAAGTTCTGTATGCTGTCTGCAACAATATCTATGTAGTCTTGCTCTCCAACATCACAATGTCTGCTGTCATGTTTTGAATCATGTGTGACTGATGAGAATGATAGTTTTATTTTTAACAGAATGTCCATAAGAATATTATACGTTTTGTTTGATTGTAAATAATAGGAATAATATACCATCAAATTTCTGTTGCATATGTAATTTAATTACTCCAGGATTTATTCTCCCGAGATGAGTAGCAAGTGATCTAGAATAAAGTTGATCATTCAAAGAATGTACTGAGTTGTAGCATTATTTTTCCTCACTCACCTGAAATGTGAAACCACTCCTTGAACTTAGGGGGAATAGGAGAAAACGAACTGAAAGGAATAAAAATTCAAAGGCCTTGGCAAGAAATTATCTTAGAAAAGAGCTTTAATATTAATACTTTGTTACATATGTATAATCAAACAAATGCACATTTTATCACGTAACACAGGCTTATTTGACTGGTTTCATTTGCCAAAGTCCATCATTGAGGTAATGACAATTTTCAACACCAACGCCTTTGTTAACTTTTGATCTGCAACATGTACAAGATTAAAATATTAAAAAATTGGATCTCCAACAAACAAGAAAAGAGAAAAGCAGGGCTTACATGTCGTCCGTTGATAAAGAGGTGATTCCGACAGCAATTGCATGTTGCTTTCCTTCAGCCATAATAGCCTACATGATCAGTTAAGGATAGAAACAAGAATCAACAGATGCTACATTGGGAATTGATTATGTTACAATAAATGCTATAATTTGCATTCTCTCAAGAGAAAGTCAAAGGATACGACAACAGTGCCTTTAGGTACAGCAGTCATTTTGGCTCCTGGTGAAGTGAGACCAGGGCACATAATATTTGCTCCACTTAAAACAAATCTGATGGCACCTTTATCAACCTGCTCCAGAGGCAGAAAAAATGGATCTGAAATAAAATGTGAAGCCATATCAGAATAGATACAGAAAGGCTATGTTCTTTGGTTCCAAGTTCAAAAGACAAACATGAAAACCTACATTTGTGGAGCAATTTCAAAGTCGGCATCCATGGTCCTTCTCGTTGACGAAAGAATAGCAAATCTCCAGCATTATTCACAAGTAGCTCAATGTGCTCGTGACTGAAACAAAAAAAAAAGCAAGGAATGGGATCAATCTTTTGGCAACTACATTTTGAGTAGACGGGCACTTCCAAAAAAAGTTACAGAGATGTTACCATTTGACTATTCTGAAGGCATCTTTCTTGGGAAGAATAAAATCTATATAAGATTCTAATGTGGGATACAATTCCAATAATTTACTACGAATTCCTTTTTGTACAGAAGATTTCAGTTGCTGCGTTCCCGACACGCTCTCTTTTTCATCAAACCTGTTAACACACAAGAAACATCAAAACGCATGATAAATGATTTTTTTTTTTTTACTTTTTTCTAAATAGTTATAGGCAAACTTGTCATAAATAATTAGTTGTGCCTTGCAAGTGACATACTAATAGGTTATGTTACTTATTGAACATCAAACCCATCTCAATAGTGCATCACTATACCCCACCTTGAGGGCGTTTTTATAACGGGGTGAACGAAAAACGCAAAAAAATTCAAGATAGAGGGCCACAATTGGTGACAAAGTTTCTTTTTAGTTACATGTATGCAAAACCAGCTCGGTTGGAAACGCGACATGGGCATTTAAAAATAGGACCACAACTTCCCATGCAGGAGCTAAAAAACCGAGGTAGAACATACACTCCCGCTTGCTATTTAACATGAGTGGAGCATTACTCACTTTTTAAACATGTCAACAAAAAAATAAACTTTGAATAAAGAGTTCGGGCCGGCAGATGTGTGCTGCTGCAACAGATGACTGGCGTTGTAGGTTGTGGTTATCGTCTGCTTCTCCTTTGCCCTTGCCTCGTGAAGCGTCCGGGTATGAGCTCTTTATGTAGGCCCCAAAAATTAATTTTCTGTAGACATTACGAAAGATATTTTAATTTTAACTCCTTTGTTGGTTCATTCTATTTCTAGCATACTTTTCTGGTCCGATTAACTCGTCCGTTCATCCAGTCATTCATTCACCTTGTGCTGTTGGTACTCCTGTATGACTTCCCTTACCGGACTAGTCAACATCTCTTGAATCAGTTTATGGTTTAAATCTACTTTTTGATTTCTTTTGAGTCAACTTGTGCACCAATGATCCACTTTTCGAAGTTTCATCTAGAGTGGAAACAGTTCAGCAAATCTAGCCCGATGTAGCCACATTCATTAGAAAGTCACTAATCTCGGCCGGATGGAGGGCGCTGTGAACAGCTGTCAAATGTTTTCTGCTTGTCGTCTGGTCCCTCACAGTTTGTAAACTAATACTTGTTTATCAATTAGCAGCTATTTGTGACTGAAGTTATACGAAAATCGTCTACCGTGGACCGGAAACGGGTAAAACGTACTCACATGTCCATAGGAGGCAAGGTCAGTCTATTCACCGACTGGTTTCAAACCGATTTTTGTTTCCTCTTGGCTCCCCGCCAGTCTCCAGCACCGCCTACCGCCGCAGGTTATCGGCTTGATCGCCAGATTTGCCTGTCTTCTATTAAAGTAACACAGGTTCTTGGTTTTAGTTTGTTCGAGGTATGCCACATCTTTTAAGGCTCTGGTAGTTGATAATTGGCGAGCCCAAGTGTCTTTCGCCTTCGTTTTTCAGGCCTTTCACAGAGCCTTTGTTTGTCAATGGCTCCCACCGCCACTACCCCTGACTGACTCCCCCTGACAGGTGCAGGGAAGTGTCGGTGAAAAGTGAAACTACCGAAAGAAATATTTTCGTGAAACTAAATTTTCGTCACTAAATATCCACATCATATTTCGCTGTTAGTGACTATGGGAAAAACCGAAATATCACCATACATCATAGTGATTTACTTAATTGTCCTTTGGCTTATTTACAATCAAAATTATTTTAAACATTTAACAACAAACTAGAGTTTTAAAGAAAGCATTAACCTCTATTTAACTACATGATTGAGTTGTTATTATGTTAATCTTGTTCTTCCTCTATCCTCTTATTCCTTGAGGGAAAGACCACTTTCTGTATTTCATCCTTCATCAATATGATGACAATTGTGCATGGAGAAGAGTTTCGGTAAATGTCATTGAGCAATGACACTTACCGCTGCAACTTTCCTGGCTGGAAAAGGGGCTAGGAAGGAAATGGAAATTACAGGACAAACAAAAAAGTATAAGAAAAGGCTCAGGGGAAGGGGGAAAGAGGGGGGGAGGGGGCAGTGTTGACACACACTATCTTGTTGACCTTGACTGGAGCAAAGAATGCAGGTAGCTTATATCAGAGTAGTCTTCCACAGAAATCAGGTTCTGTGGTGCCAGTGGATCTACATGCTAGGTTTTCTCGTCACAACAAAAATTTGTCCAGCATGAGTCCGAATTCTTGCTCTAATCAAATGGTTTGCTATCTTCTCATTTATGTTATTTTTATGAGGGCATTTCTTCTTAAACAGCTGTGTTGGACATTGTCAATTTCACCTTTTTCCTCATGATGATGTGGCACCTTGCAAATGCCCAATACATCTTTGGGTCCTTCAGAGCTATTCATAATTAATTTTGTGGAACTGTTTGCAGCCCTTGTTGTACTCCTATTGGAGGAGTTCATGCTCGTGGAGAGTGAGAATTGGTAAGATTTGCTTCAACGTAAAGTTTTTTTAGATCAAGATTTAGAAAAAAAAATGCTTTTCTAATTAATATTTTTTTCATCTCTTCTTTTATTAAAAAAATTCAGCATTAAATCTGAAAGAAATCCCTTATGACATAAAACCAATAAGTTTGATCAAAGGTGGAGGAGAGCAGCATTGCAATGACTATCGAGAAGTAAACCCGATGGAGCAGGTTCCAGCCTTGCAGATTGATGGCCACACAATCGTTGAATCAGTATGTTGTCACAAAGTCTGACCATTTATGGAACTGTGAAATTCTTATTATATTTCTGCAGCTCACAGTATTTTATTTGACAGCTCAATATCATGCACTATTTAGAGGAGACTCGTCCGCAACGACCACTCATGCCATCAGATGTTTACAAGAGAGCCAAAGTATGCCTACAGTAAAATTATATTCTGAGCCCAGTTCCTGTAATATTATGATACATTTTGTTTTCTTGGACAGGTTCGAGAGGTCTGTGAGGTGATACAGTCTGGAATACAACCACTTCAAAATTTGGTTGTTCTGATTTATGTGGGAGAAGAGAAAAAAAAAGAATGGGCACAGCACTGGATAAATAGGGGATTAAGAGGTATGTTTTATATATTGGTACTCTTAAGAATAAATAAGAATTTGTTAAGGTCCATTTTGAACTGTTTCTTTCTACTTTTGTCTTTACACAGCTGTTGAAAAACTCCTAACAACCTGTGCTGGCAAGTATTGTGTTGGAGATGATATTACACTGGCTGATTGTTGCTTGATTCCTCAAGTCTTCAATGCAAGACGGTGAGTTCTTTAAATTGTTGAACTTGAGGAATGAATGAATGACCATAATTTTTTCAATCATCCAAATGAACTTAATTTTCCAGTTTCCATGTCGATTTACGACCATTCCCAATAATATTGAGGATTGACAGAGAGCTGGAAAACCATCCAGCCTTCCGTGCTGCTCATCCTTCTTGCCAACCAGACTGTCCACCCGAAGCCAAGTAGCTAGGGCGTCCACCACAGCACATCAGACAAGCAAGAGCCTATCAAAGCGAGTTTTGTTAGAATGCTTTCTTGTCCTCTTCATTTTGAAGACTCAAGTGGTATGATAAAAACATACCTCTGAGATAAATGAGATGTGCTGTTGTGGTGGATGGAGAATTTCTTCAAATTCTCAAATGAAAGAAAATATGTTACCAACTCCTTGGTATTAAAAAACCGTTTCAATACTCTCCCTGAAAATTTTCCTGGGTGAAAAAGACAATTGTTACTTTGCAGCTGGAACAAATTGAGCTTGCCTTCCTTCTAGTACCTTTTTGCAAAGTCCATTTTTGGACACATTTATTTGTGTTGATGTAATCAGACTTCATTATTACCATTTTTATAACCTTGTTGTAATTGTTTACACATTGAAAGCCACTCCTCACGATGTTGAAGCCAACTTAAATGTACACACTGATGAGTGATACAAAAAATGTACTTATATTTTAGAAATTTTCCCTTTCTGCATTATAGTCAGAAATTAAGCAAGTGCCTTATGCAATTATGTGTGTAGAGTTTATGTGTAATTTGAATCCTCATATTCAGCGCTGGAAGCACAAATTGTAAGACAGACTATTTATGCTGCCTCTGTTGACCACCATGTACTTACTACTGTATATCCTGTAGTGTTGAAGGTGCCTTTCAATTTTTTCTGTTCCCTGATTTTTTATCAATTTCACTTTGTGAATCCTCAGATAGTTTTGGTTTGTCAGAACCCTGACTGGCGGCAAAGAATTCAAAGAGAGCAATTTTATCCCACATTTTTTATAAATTAGATTTTTTAAGTTTTTTTTTTGTTGGTAGAATACATGTTTTAATTGATCGACATAGATGCAGGCATCAAGGTTTGCATAGTATTTTAGTATTTTGTTTCAAGATATATATCACAATGTTTCTTTTAATAATAACTTTCCCTTAAAAACTGTGAATCTTTAATCAATGTAACAATATCCTCTTCCTTTTACAATGCGGGAAGTGTACAGCAAGCTGTACTTCTAGCTCTGTCTTCCCGACTCTTATTGTAAAATAATTATAAAGTAGATACCAATTTAAATACAAATTTACATTATGTGATAAAATATTATCATATCGTTATCATATCCAAGCCTGCTTTTGCTTATCTTTCATGCATTTTTTTTTCTTCTTCTGGGAAATGGAAGAGTGACGTGAAAGACAAAAAAAACAAAAAAAACATCCAACCAGTCTTTCTAATTAGATTCTTCACAAAGGAAAATGCCAAGCATAGAAGTTACCAATCAGTTTGAATTCATACCAATGTCTAGGCCAAAGCTAAGTAGTTCTCAAACTACATAGAAATGACAGTAGAAGTCTTCCAAATGTGTAAAATGTGTAGAGAAATGTGTTAACTGGATGGATCATCATAATTCACATGTACTTCAAAATGCAGAGTCCCACCCAACATAGAATTTGACCTTGGCAGCTCATAACAGAAAGTTGCCATTTTCATCAAGCTCCAGAGTCGAACTTTTAACATAGATTATGTTTGAAGAGAAAAATTTTTACCTGTTAGGTGCAAACCAAAAGGCTGAAGTTTGAAATGACATAATTTGAGCACCAACGCTGAATCCTACTTTCCAACATTTGTCCAGACAGCCTATGAATTTCAAGCTGTGTGAATTATGATCCACCCTGTACAAATAGAAAATATTGTAAATAGGTGTTACTTTACTGCCATTGAGTAGAAGATTATTATGTTGCTTCTTCCACAAAGATTTTAAAACTCATAATTTTTGTAATGGTCACGAGGAAAATTTACAATTATCTCTGTAGTGATATGAATAAATGATTCTTCAAAACTTACATCCAACTTGCATTATGAATTTTGGAATACAACTTAAACAGTTTGCAAGAGAGGGAAGTGGTACAAGTGAGTTGTCTGTTCTGCATTTGTAGGATCTCACAATGGTATTAAGCCTCAGTGTGGCCAGATAGCTTAGCTATAGACAAACATAGTTCCTACGGCTTGGTAGAGACAAAGGACTTGCAGAATAGGGATGAGGGATAGCATGTCTTGATCAGTCTTGATGCTGATTTATCAAGACTGACTGAGGGGAGGGGAGGGAGGAATGGTAGAGAAAGGTGGGAGTGACAGTGGAGAGGGGGGACTTTGTTGACATGTGACCAGCATGTGAGCACTAACCTTGTGCAGGCCGTGTGCAACCAAAGTACACTCTCTCTCCCGTCAGTTTCTGGTACAAAACCGCCTGATTATCTCTCTTTCTCTACGGAGCTCCACTTGAGAGCCTTGACGACTGACGACCCGTATTCACGTGCGATTCCACATACTTTTCTCAACAGTTGCCTGTTCACTGCATCAAACGTCATCATGAACTCAAGCAAATTGGTACTGTCCTATCCTGTCATAATGTTTTAAGTTAGAGCGGTTTCTTTCTCACTATTTTATACATTGGTAACTTTGATTTTCAGCCACAGTTGTATTCTTACTGGAGAAGCTCTTGCTCTTACCGGGTAAGAATAGGTAAGTAAACCAATTTGATCTGGGCTAGTATGTGAATCTCAATTTGGTTGAATAGGTTTCCCACCTCTTTGAACACAGCATCATAGTATTAAATCTGTGAGCAACAGTACATTGATAGTACAGTGGTTGAAGACACTGAGCCTGGTAAATCAATGCAGGTGTATCACCTCATTTCTTCAGATGTTCTTTAGGTAACCAAGACATGGGAAAATGACAGAAACATAAAATCAAGCAAATTGCTGACTCCTTTGCCAACCCCACAGTCATAATGCAACTAAATGGACCAGGTGTGACAACTCTAAACTAAATTTAAATTTCTCTATGTCTAGTGTTGAATTTGAAAGAAATAGACTACAACACAGTACCCATTGATATCTTCAAAGGGGGTGGAGAACAGTTCAGTGATAACTATCGTCAAATAAATCCAATGAAGAAAGTTCCTGCCTTAGTAATTGATGGACACACAATTGTAGAATCGGTCTGTATTGCCATTTCAGTTGAAATTATAATCAAATAGATGTAAAAACTCAACATTGTATTTGTTTTTCAGCTCAATATAATGCAGTACTTAGAGGAAACGAGGCCACAAAAATCACTCATGCCATTAGATGTTCTCAAGAGAGCCAAGGTAGGTCTGACTTATCTGACTAGTCCCAAACATGACTTTGTTAAATACATTAACAAGCTTTAACATGATTTTCAACAGGTCCGTGAAATTTGTGAAATGATCCAATCAGGGATACAGCCACTACAAAATGTAGGTGTTGTGTCTCGTTTTGAAAACTTTGTAAAAGAAAATCAAGAAAGTATCAAATTGGAATGGGCACAATATTGGATTATTCAAGGATTTACAGGTCTCGCACAGTTTTCTCTTGAACAAATGTTAAATGACAGATTACTTGCTCCTTGTTGACACAGTAATGTTTAACAATATTTTGTCTCAACAGCTCTTAATGAAGTTCTGACTGCCTCAGCTGGCAAATACTGTGTTGGAGATGACATAACACTAGCAGATTGTTGCCTCATCCCTCAAGTTTACAATGCAAGAAAGTTAGTCTCTGCTCCAATTTAATAACAAAAATAATATGATAGTTCCCAGATCTAATCTATTTATTTTAATTTTAATAATTACAGGTTTAAAGTTGATATGCAGCAATTTCCTAATTTATCTAGGGTTGCAACACATCTGGAGAATCATCCAGCATTCTATGCTGCTCACCCCTCCAACCAACCCGACTGTCCGCAAGAATTTAAAACCCATAAAATCTAAAATAGTCCATCGCACAAACCAAAAATATCTTAGGACAGAAAAGATTTGTATTCTTTTAATGGTAATAGTACAAGTAAATGGATTGGTAAGTCAGGAATAGTTGTGTTCCCACATTTCATTCAGGAAAGTATCACAGTGTAATAGAATAAATATGAAAAATATAATACACTTCACATTCCACCCCCCATTCCATAAGTTTTGTCCCATTGAACATAAGCATCTAAGTCTTTGTTTGAAACACTTGCTCTCACCCGTTGTAGTGCAGATTTAAAATCCTCCATTGCTATGGGGCGGACCTAAAAAGTTAAGCCTCATTATTGTTATTATTTTTGCACAAAAATGAAACATAGATATGAAATTAAGGAAAGGTATAAGTACCTGATCTGCTGTTATCTGATGCATGGCTGAGAAAGATATCGATCTAATTGGTCCAAGAGATGCTTCTTGACATAGATTTTTCATGTCTGCACCAGAATATCCATCGGTTAATGAAGCAACTTCATCAATTTGCTCATTTGTTAATGCACTTCGCTCATTTGACATAAGTCGCTCAACGATTTGTTTTCTAGCCTGAAACATTTGATTCAAGAAATTTAGCCATTGCAGAAAGGAAGAAGGAAGGAAAAATCAATTTACACTAACTGAGAATTCTGGAAGAGGGATGTAAAGTCGCTTCACTAATCGGCGCCTTGCTGCTTCATCCAATTCCTGTGGTCTGTTTGTAGCACCAACAACTAGAATACGTTCCTCTTCTCCAGTTCCAGCACCATCCTGTGCGAATAAAATACTAAGCTACAAAGAAAACGAGAACATAAGAATCCATATTGATTGGTAGACATGACTCACAAGTTGTACAAGAAACTCTGTCTTGATTCTACGAGAACTTTCGTGTTCAGTGTCACTTCTCTGGGTTAGCAGGGAATCAATTTCATCAATAAAAACCACAGCAGGTTGATGCACTCTGTAAGGCACACATAAGTCAATAATTCATACACCTTTTAATGATTAAATTTTTAAATTTGTGTCAAAATAACTGTAAAATATTTTGAAGTAGAACCTACTTAGCAACAGCAAAGAGAGCTCGCACCATTTTTTCACCATCTCCAATCCACTTTGATGTTAGAGATGATGCACTAATACTGAAGAAAGTGGACTGAGACTGAGATGCAATACATTTTCCTGCCAGAAAGCAGAACATTGTAAGAAAGGATACAAAACTACTTGCTATAGTAAGGTATAGTTAGTTCAGCCAAAGTTGGCAGATCAGCAAGCTTTTGCTATGCAGGGCTATTCTTTGTGACATTATGAGTGTGGCAAACAGTACCAATAAATGATACCTTGGAACAAGTGTCTTACAAAAGGATTGAACCCTTTATAATGAACTGAACAGGCGCAGTCAGCACTCAATGAAGATGAGGCTGTTAAGGATTTTCTTGGGTCCTAATCAAGCCAACTTTGAATGAACAAGCTACAATTTTTATTTATTTTCATACCAATTAGTGTTTTACCAGTCCCAGGAGGCCCAAACAATAGAAGACCCTTTGGAGGTTTCCTCAAACCAGTAAATATATCAGGTCGTAAAAGAGGCCAAACGACTATTTCCTAGAAGATAAAATATAGACATGATAAAAAAAAAAAAGCAATTGAAAACCAAATTATATTTAGAGACAAAATGAAAGACCTGAATTGTTGTTTTGGCAAACTCAAGACCAGCAATATCATCCCATTCTACTGGGGCGCCTATGTCCATAATTTCATTGCGAATGGTTTCTATCATTTTGGGATCAATGTTTTTTAGTCTTTCATCAATTTCCTCTTCATTTCCTCCCTCCATTCCAGGCTGCTTCACACCAAACATTCCACCAAAGTCACTGTAGAAAAAAAGAAAATGAATAGAAAAGAAACTAGGAGGTTTTCTTGTGTGTATAAAGGAGGCATAGTTATGAAAATAATTACTCTTCTTCTGTTGGTTTGATAGGAGGAACAAATTTGCCATTGACTCCACCTCGACGAGTGCCTAAAGACCGTTTTGGAACACCTGCCGCACCTCTGCCTATTCCATAACCATTATGATTTCCACCACGACCTCCATTCTTTTTCTGGTTTTGAATCACCTACAAGAATTATTAATTAAATGTGATGCACCATTTTTGGGCTCAAAAGATTAGTGTTGGTCAAGAGGGCAAGCATACCAATTCATCTCTTGCTGTTTTGAAGATGCTTGCACTTACTGAAGACATTCCTATATCTGCCTGTGTATTGTATGCATTTCTTTGAAATGAGGGACAACCTTGAACCGAATTGTTATTCCATCCACTGAAAAACCAAACACATAATGAATGAAACAAGCCATAATACTAGACAGATTTTGATTGCAGTAAATGAATTACCTGTTGTTGGTGTGAACACTCCCTCCTCTCCAATCAGCACTGCCCATTTGGGAGGACCTGGCAGGCCCACCCATGTTTCTCGTTTCTGCATTGCTGTTAAAATTTATTAAATCACCAGGACTATTCCCATTAGCAAAGTGAGAGCTTCCCCCGTTAGTTCCAAAACCATTGGCATTTCTTGTAAATATATTTTGGGCACCTATTGCTTTCCTGCCAAAACCACTGTCATCATTTGGTCTTACACCACCAGAGACATTAGGGTAAGCAGTGCCTGGCTGTGGTTGCCTTAAGCCAACCCCTGAAGTTGGTGCAAGCTTTGCAGAAAATGAGTCAAAGGAGCTCCCCCTCCTTTGCAGCCCACTGTTTGGACCTTGCTGATGAATGTCTACAGCTGTAGATATTTGAGGCTGTTCTTTGGTTGTGAAACCAAAATGTTGAGACACAACTGAAAATGTTTGCAACACGTAATCTCAATAATTGTCATGCAATAATGAGGTTGTGAAGACACAAATGCAATACCAACTGAAGTACCTGATTTCTTAAAAACAAAGCTTGCCGAACTTTGAACCTTTTCATTTCTGCTTTCTTTAGCAGTAGCATTTGCAAGTAACTTAAGATCCTGCTCTGCTACTTCATACGATGAGCATTTTCCTGGACAGTTTATTAACTTATCAACAGTAGACAGCACCGGCCTGCTGTTTCTCAAATTACTTTTCCATTTGGTTGTATCTGAATTGGGGAGAGAGAACACTATATATTCAAAATTGTTAATAGAGCTTAATTAAAATTTTGCTTTTCTAGTCATGAGTTAAAAATACCGTTTTTTCCTGAACCTGAGGCAAGGAGGAGTGCGGCATCGGCATAGTTGTTAATAGATTTTTCAGATCTTGAATCAATGAGGTTCTGATACGGCCTAAGATTATTATCAATGACCAGGCACACTCCTTGAGCATCACATCTGTAAAACACAAGCATAAATTAGACATCATAGAGGAGTAACATTTGACATTGTTCCACAACTGGCAAACGAGCAACGAGTGTCACAGTTGAGGTTAAGTAATGAAGGTACTAGGGAGCGTTGGAGAAGCTTACAACGAATGCGCTGCATAAAAACACTGAGAGAGAGATTTCCGTTTACAGCTAGCTTCGATGAATGGATCTTCATTAACTGACTTGCACCGGGACGCGTGATGGTGATATCTAAAATTAAAATTTTCAACCTCTCCCGGCTCCATTTTTGTTGACATGCTGTTGTTTTTGTTGTCATTTTAAGAAGGGTGCTTTCGAAATCACCTCTCACAACAGCTAATCTGGTCATTTCCGGTCGTTGTAGGGAAAGAGAAGGGGAAAGAGGGGGAGAGGGGAAGGGAGGGAGTGAGTGTTGTGTGTACAGCGAAAAGCGAATGAAGGGTGAAGTAAAGTGCCATTTTTAACATGAACCCGTGATTAAGAAAATACTTTTACCTTCTTGGTAAGTTCATTGGTTCCGTATGTATCGGTAGTTGCCTCAATTCATTTGTCTTCATTTAATCGCAGTTAAAGTTAGTCGTTTTTTTTTTAAATTGTTGTCAACCTCAATGTTTTTCTTAGTTTATTTTTTACCTCAATGGAAGTAATGATGTTAAATCAGTTGTGTGATTCTGATGCATCACTCTTTTCTAATCGATTGTCCATGTAGTAATTCTTGTTCAAATGTTGATCATAACCAAGTTTAATTTAGAGGTCAACCATGCCCAACATGCCGCAACTATGGGTGACATGGTCATTATGAAAACGTTAATTTGCTTTCCAGGCCATTTGTTGAAGATTTCTAATGTGAACGTTTATCGATGGACATGCATAGGTGAGTTTACTCCCAGTTCCTATCCCACGTCCATTGACACTCCTTCAGTATCCTTTTAACTTCTTATTACAATTTATTTAGGATAAGTAAAATTAAGCTAGGAATCCTCTTCCTATCTAAAAACTTCAGTAATGTCTTCCTGCCCCCTATCCTCTTGTAATCTTGTCAGTGTCACTTGGAGGGCCAGTGCCAGCTGCTCTAATTTTGATTTCTTCTTATTCTGAGTGACCTTTTTATCTATTTAAGGCTGAAAAATGGAGCTGATAAGAAAGAGGGTGATGCTGTGTCTCAAACTTCCTCTCATCAGAGGAGAAAAAAGAATGGTGATAGATCCAAGCAATCCAGTGGATATCTTCAAGTGAGTATTGTACATGATTGTGTTCATTGTCATTTATTCTGAGTTCAACAAATCTTTCCCTCTATATGTTTCAGGAATGGGTTCATCAGTCTCGATCATTTGTGACTGCTCCGCATTATGATCCGCAGTACAGTCAGCTTGTTGGTCCTTATTGGGAAGTTGCTAGCTCTCCAAGAATGTTTGCTGCATTCTCAGACCCCACTGTATGTCGTTACTCTGTCCCCACTGCTCCTCCACCACCTTTAACTTATTCATATGAACCGGTCTCCCTTCCTATTTATCAACCAGCTTATCAGGTAAGTTTTTGTTTATTCTGCTGTGTTTTTGGGGGTTTGTGGAATTCTTTTATTGACATTAATCTTCTGCAGCCACCTGTAGCCCCAAGCCCAGTTGGCACTTGGCGTTCCCCTCAGCATGTGCCCAGTCGAGGAACCTTGAAATCTGACCGACCAAAGCAGTCTGGTAGATCAAATGCCCACACTTCATCCAAACAATCTAATAGAAATTCCTCTTCAAGACACAATTTATCCAACAGCCCTTTATTACAGCATCAAAACATGCAAGGGTACTCACCATTTCTATTTTTTTTTTAATTTATTTTTGCATTTTAGTTTTTGATAGAGGTGTACTTATGTGTTAAATTTTTTCCCCATACAGTGCTGCAACCCAAGATGAGTACCTCAGTTTGCCACCTGGAACTCAACAGGGCTGTGACCTTGATGACACTCATCGGCGATTCAGTGACCCAGGACTCGCTCGCTCTGAACCCGATTCAACTCCTCCTAATAATATCAACAACAACAATAACAACAGCAACAACAACCACCACCACCATCATCTTGATGAAGAAAATGAAAGTGGAGAGTGGTCACATGACAGTGGTAGTTCATCTGCCAAAAGTATAAATTATGAAAACATAGCATTATCTGAACAGCTCAACCTTTTGAAGGCGGAGAATAAAAGACTTGCACTGGAATTGCGTGACACACGAGCTGAGTTACACAAGCTGAAACTGCAAGCAGCAGCATGGGCTAATCCCATTCAGCAGGACTATCAGCCTGGAATGATATCAGGTACACTTGATTGATTAACACATTTACGTAATACCAGGCCTCCATGGTTCTGAAATGACATTATTATGAAAAATATAATATTACCATCCAATTTTTTCATCAAGATTTGGTTAGAGAAATACGGGATGCTGCTCAACTCCGAGAGGAGACATTGATCTCTCGACTCCGCCTCATGATGGCTGATGGAGGAGTTCTTCGTCTCACACATGAAAAAGAGGTATTTAAGTTCATTAGACCTTACTAATTTAATTTAAAAAGCCCTCTCTTTTAGCTACTTGTTCAATAACTTGATTATGGCATTTTTATTATTATGAATAAATAAAATGTTAATAAGTGGAACATTTTTCTCCTTTCCAGAGTCCGGGTTCCAATCACAGCCGAGACTCCAGCACAACCCAACAAGATTCTGCATTCTCAGATGATCTTCGTGTAAGTGTCTGCAGAAACTTTGATTTGTGTGTACATAGTTGTTTTAGTAGACTGGAAACTTTCCAGAGCATTTGATTGACAGGGCGGAGGGGGAGATTGGAGAGATGGCTGGGGTTGGGTGGGTGGGTGGTGGGTAGGGGTAGGGTTGGGCAGGACTTGCGTCCTCACGACTCCGTGCCGCGTCTCCCCGGTCCTCCCCGGTCCTCCCCGGTCCTCCCCGCACTCCCCGCAGCTGGACACTCTGACAACGGTGTCCTTGCGACAAAGGGCGGGGAGTTAAGGGGGCTAGGTCCCTGTTAGGTCCGGGGTGTCCGGTGTCCAGTTACCCCACTGCGTCAATATTAGCGGCTGTAAGTGGATGGACTCATCAGCTGAGTGGAGTGGTGGCCCCCCTCCCCCTCCCCCACCTCTCCCTCCCTCCCTCACGCCGTCGTCGGGTCCGGCAGTCTGGCCAAGTCCCGCGCACGCATCTCAGGTGCACATCTTGTTTCAGGATTCTGAAAGGATTTCGCGGCTGGAGAGACAGCTCAACAACCTACAGTTGCAGAGGTAGGCACTGCTTGTTTGAAAATGGGCCAAGCGTTTGGCAGGTTGTGGAGCCTGACGGATGCATGTTCTGGTTGCAGCGGCAGTGAGGCGTCTCGACGCGAGGAGCAGCTCCAACGCGAACTCCTCGAGGCGCAGGCAGCACGCAAGATGGCCGAGGGCAACGTCAACAAGTGAGAGAGCCAGCCAGCAGGCCAGCCAGCGGCGGCGGCCTTCCCTCCCTGTCTACTGACAGTCTAGAGCCCACGCTTACCCCGCTCGCCTTCCCCCATGCTTCCAGGCTGGAGAAGCTGATGAACATGATGAGGAAGAAGATGAACGGTGTGACGGCGAGCCCGGAGCGGGACGCCGACCAGGTCCTCTGCGAATCTCCTCCCGAGAGCCCCGCGGCCAGCGCCACCAGTCCCAGTGTGACGACGACCTTGTCGACGATCCCAACGATTGCCCCGACCACGGCCCCGACCACGGCCCCGACCACGGCCTTGACGACGGCGCCGAGCTCCCTCGAGTCCCTCACGTCGGCCTGCTCGTCCAACCACGGTGCCCATTCGATGTGCACCTCAAGCGTCCCCTTGACGGGACCTGTCACAGACCTTTGACAGCGACCGGGGGCGCAGTGCAGGGCCTGGAGCGCCTGGGGCGCGGACCCGGGCCCGGCCTCGAACTTCCTTCACGTTCCAAGGCACTCGACCTACGCGCCCACCTCTACCGTGTTGCCGTCGTCTTTGCCGGCCACGGAGGGAGCTATGTTCACCCCGGCCCCAAGTGTCTCCTGCATCTGCATCCTCAGGAAGTTGTTGGTCAAAGCTATGGTAACGGTCATAGCGGAAATGATGAATCTCTGAGGGTCGACCCTGCCCCGACCTTGCCCTTAAAACAAAGAGTGGCCTCTTAAACTCTTGTCTCAAGTAAATCGCCCAGTAGTCTGAACATACTCTGGGTACTTTCATTTTATACTTAGGTGACTGAATGACGGCATGAAGGGTAGTTAAATGACGGCCTCTGTCAATGAATTGTTCATATGATCTTAGAAAATTGCCAACCAAGGTTTGTACCAGATTGTGCACGAGTGAGCTTTTCATGTGTGTATCACTGTTGAAGTTACTGTTACACTCATGCATTATGACCACTTCACTTCACGGGTGAAACTGCTCAATTCTGAATGAAGTGTGTGAATTGTGCTTCATCAACACACTTTGTCAATCTTACTCCCTCCCTCCCTCTAATTATTATCTGCACAGTGGTGGGACCAATGTCAAACTGTTATTTATGTGTTTGACTGAGATGTGCATAAGCTGAAACACATTGGCTGTCGAGTGTTGTCACTTTACAACCAATGAGTTACCAGGTTACCATTTTACATCAAAATTTAGGCTGGCCTGGAATTACTCAGCTATCAGAAATTAGTATGTGAAAATATAGTCCGTCCCAATTTGGTCTGATCTAATTTTGTAACCTTTTATCTTTCTTTCTTGTGGCAATAGAAATTTTTTAATCATGATGGTCTTAAATATTTTAAATTTTGTAATTCAATGAACAATTGTTAGGTGCCTTTTATCTGCCATATACTGACTTGTTTGCAAAGTGCCTTATTATGTTATAAAGAAACACTAAAGAACTATACTTTTTCACTAGATTGGCCCTCCTGGTGGGTGATAGCAAAGTTCCAAAGTTCCTTTGCGCTGTGGGCTCTATGTATGTTTTTTTTTCTTTGCTGAGTACTATTTGATCATATTTTATTCAATCTTTTCTGTAATGTAATTTGCCATACCATAAAATAACCAATTGTTTCTGGAAGATCATTTTCAAGTGGTTTGTCATATCACATTGAACTTATTTCATTTCTATGAACAACTTACCAATGATTTTCCACCTGTGTAGGAGTTATTTTTAATTCTGAAAATGTTATCTTAGGCACTTTCTATCAAAATGATATTGTTTTCCTGAGTAAAGATTGCCTCTTTCTGTGATTTACTATATCTTTGTAAGGAATTTTTATTGTTGTGCTCTATTGTTAGTCATGTTAAGCCATTACTTTAGTGTTGGTTTGTTTTATCATTCTTGCAATGGTTTCTTGCTAACTGTAATGAGTTTGCACGTTCTTCTTTTATGTCAATTAGCCTTGTCACCTCTTTTAAAAAGTGAACTGATTCTTCAAATGCCTTTCTACTGGAAATTATTCTTGAATCTGAATGTTGGTATACAGTATGAAGAGCCAAAGCTCATGTTCTGAGTTAGTTTCAATCTGTCTTGTGATAATATTATTTTGAAGTGAATTGTAATCTTGTTAGCTTCATTGGCTGTAAAAGCTTTTTTTTTTTAGAAAGCATTCCTTTTCCCTATTGTTTTTTTTTTTTTAATCCTTTTGTTGCGTTGGGCAAGGCAAAAAAACCTGACTTGTGGAATGCTTATTTCAATCCAGTGGCATGTTCAAACATCGAACCATAACAACCTAGTCTTTAAGGCTTTTTGTTTTTCTAATCAAGTTACCGTTGAGATCAATGGTTCTTTGAAAAAGTGGCACATTTTTGGTCAAACAACTCATAATCCCACTCCTACCCCTCTCCTTCTCCTTAAAAAAAAAAAACAATAGAAAACAAAGCAAACAAACCAACTTGTAACTATTTTAAATGACTTGTTTAGATTTTATTTTGTTTGTATATTTGTTTATTTATTTCTTTGTGTTCATATAAAGCTTTATGTGTGTATGTTAGCTTAGCCAAAAACAAATGCCATTGAATTCCAGTGAAATTTGCTTTGTTAAAATAAATGAGATCTATTTTTTTTTATCATTTGTTTTTGCATGTACTTTAGCTTGTATACAAGATCTCCCTCCTATTTGGGAACATGTATTTTCTTTTGCAATGCACGAAAGATTGCCAGCATCAATGTGTGAATAATTGTAATGGGCATCAACCATAAAAATGAAGTGTTCTTATTTTAAGTCTGTATTTGCAATCTCTTTGGATAGACAGTAAGTGATGCTGTTTTGAATACCATCAAATCAAACAGTCCTTCTAGATTCCTTATTGCATTGCTACACGGTTTTTTATTATTGTTGAACTGTTTTTCTGAGCATGTCCCATGACAATAAGTGTTTGGAATGGATTTGACTGAAATTGTAACTTCACTTATATCAGAATCAATCTGTGCTCTAAAGCTTTATTCCAAAGACATATGTATGGAACAGTGGTACAAAGTGTTGGTTAATACTGTTGAAAGGTTCACTATCTTCAACACCCACCAATACAGCTCAAAGTCCACAATACTTTTTCCTTAAATGCAAGGTTGTTATTCCATTTTAATATATTTTTGGGGTGAGTAATTTATATTTGTTAGAGGTGTACACATTTAAGGGAAAAAACAGGTTATGACAACCTGAGAATATTGTACATACACATTTTAAGTACAATAGTGCTTTGGATATATATTTTTTTCCTGATGCCAGGGTTTTGGTCTTTGGGTTTTAGAAAGTGTGTTGCTGGTGTTCTCCAACAATGAAACCGAAGGGTTGTGGTACAATCTCAATATCCTTCAGTAATTATAGTCGCATCAAAGAAGATTGATGCAAAGCATTTTAAACGATTATGACTTTTTAAATGCTTGTAACACAATGTCAATGCTTTTTGTATGTAAAATTTGGGTATTGATCATCCCTTTATTGAATAATCAGCTCATGCACCCTCGTTTCTTTGTCACAAATCCAATGCAATAAATATACTTAGTTTCATTAAACATCTCATTTTGTCTTTTCATCATCTGCCTACTAACAGAAAAACTTGTTCCTTTTCTTTTTACTTGACGTGCACCATGGCCGTCGTTCGCTGACGAGATGGCTCGGAGCGTCGTGTGGGGCAGGGGCGGGGAGGAGAGAGAGGGGCTGGACGGAGTCAAAAACGGCTGGGGGAAAGGAAACCTGACACCTCCGACGCGGGCAGGGCGGCAGCCATGGGTCGTCGAGCCGCTTGGCTGCAGCCCCATCCCCAGCGTGCTCCGTCTTTTCCGGTACGGCTTGGCCCCTCCTACACGACCCCGAATCATTCCAGGGTATCAAGTTGCCGTCGCCCTGCTCGCCCTGCTCCTCCCGCTCGATGCAGCCACTCACGGCCTAGTCGGGCCGCCGGGGTTGAGTCGGCATCCATTATCCATTTATGGCCGCCCCCTGCTCCAGCGCTCCCGAACCCTCCTCCCTGCCCGGCCCGACGGCCCGGCCTCGGCGCTTCCTCTTCCTCCGTTTGGAGGTTTGGAGCGTTTCCGGCGCGGCGCCTCGGCATGTCGGCGCCGGCTTCGGCCTTGCGGACGTGCTCCTCCTGGTGCTGCCCCTCGTCCTCGTCCTGCCAGCCCTGCAGCCTTGCCAGCGTGCCCATCCATCATGTCTATCGGTCCCGGCGACGGATTCAGGCAGAGCCGGGCGGAGCTGGGCGCTGCGATCTATTTCAAAGTGCACTGCTACAAAAAGCGTCTCCGGCGGTCCGCGGCCCCTGGCGATGCCCGGGCCCGGCGGTGCCTGGCGCCTGCAGCCTGCAGGGTAGGCAGCCCCGCGCGCTGCCATGTCGGCGGGATGGCATGACCGGCCTGCGCGGGGCTGTGCGCTGTGCTTGGGCCGCTCGGTGTGCATGTGCATTATAGAGGCAGCAAACCAGCGCCGCCGTTTAAAATTTACTGAAGTTGAAAGCGCTGCATGCCCGTCGGCAGGGGATGGGACCCTCGGTGGTGTCGTCCGGGGGGTTGGGCCAGGACGGCGACAGGGAACAGGGACCACCCAGACTGGGCGACCGAGGGCCAAGGGCTGGGGAAGTGGCGGCTATCCACACACCTTATACCGCAGTCTAAACAAAGCGTTTGATGAGGCCCTGTAAGGCACGCAGCACTGCGCAGCCTTGAACCAAACGCACCTGGCCCGCCTGGCCCGCCCCGTCAGCAACAGGGCGACCCTGCAGCAGCGGGCCTCCCTCAAGCACCCCCATCCCATCAGCGCCTTCAGCGCCATCAGCCCATCCAGGCCGAGCGATTCGGAGAGTCGTTTCGCCACCCTGTCTCCCTGTGCGGGTGCGACAGAGACAGAGCGACGGGGGCAAGACGTCGGACTTGACGGGGCTGCAGAGCGCGAGACAGTGCGCGGCCTACGGTGCATGCAGGGGGCCGCTGTGCACGCCTCACCAACAGCCATGCCTCCCCGCCACGACCGCTCCCAGGGGGCCAGTCTAGTGCCTGCAGCTTGCTGTTCACTCTTTCCGCTCTCCGCTCTCCAGCGCGACGCGCCACCCCATCACAGAAAGCAACCACCCCACCCCGCCCCACCCCGGCGCCGCCCCAGCGTCGGGTGCGCGCCCCACCATCTCGACAAACAGTGCTTCATTATGGCCCCGCCCGGTACTCGCCCCCTGCCTCCCCCTCCCCGCCGTCCACTCCCTCTTTCTCTATTTACCATCATGCCACCGCCACAGTTCACGATGAGCATGGGCGTAGCCCGGCGTAGCCCGGCGTAGCCCGGCATAGCCCGGCGTAGCCCGGCGTAGCCCGGCGTAGCCCGGCGTAGCCCGGCGTGGCCCGGCCGAGGCGCGCAGTCGAGGCGTAGCAACGCGTAATTAAAATTAGAACATCAAAGCCCGGCGTGTCGCCAAAGTCCGAGCCGGGCAGCCGGGCGCCGCGCTGCCTCACCGCCGCACGCAGAAAACAAGGAATCGCGACGCCCGCCGCACGCTGGCTGGCTGGATGGCTGGCTGGCTGGATGGCTATCGCCGCTGTCGAAGGGCCTGCGGCTGTTTTTCGCAGCTCAGTCGTTATAGCGATTCGCGCCAAAAAGAGGAGGCGGCATCATGGCGGCACAGACGACCGTGACGACTGGACCGGCTGGACTGGCGGCGAGGGCGCACAGTTTAAATGAATGGCGCCGAGGCGGCCTCACTCACTCACTCACACTCACTCACACACACTCACTCACTCACACTCACACTCACTCACACACACAATCGCCGTCTCGCCCTGCTCTCTTTCCTTTCTCCATCACTCTGCTCTCCATGCAATTGCTCTATTTCCTGTGTGTGCTTTTAATTTCGAGCGTGCAAACCATGATAGCCGTAAACAGGCAACACACGCCCCACTGGCCCCACCCCCCGTGGGACCTCTGCCAGGTACGTCGGGGGGCGTCGGGGGGCGTCGGGGGGCGTCGGGGGGCGTCGGGGGGCGCGGAGGAGAGGGGGAGCGGGCGTCTTCTCCCTCGGCTCCACTGAAAACAACGGAAGGGCGAAACAGGAAGAGGGCAGGGAATGGGATTCCCGAACCTCAATCCCGGGTAAGGCGCTCCTGGACGCAAAGGTTGGGGCTTGGACACACGGCCTGGCCCTGCCTGGCCCGCTGCCCGCTGTCGCGATGCTGAAGGGTCATCCAGTCGGATGGAGAGGAGGCGAAGCGGAGGGGGCGGCTCCGGAGCCCAGAGGGTGGTCAGCCGCCGGAATCCGAAGGAGGGTTTCGTCTTTTCGTCGCGTAATTAAAATTAGAACATCAATTGCTGAGCAGAGCGGCCTACCAAACATTCCAGGGGTGCCCCCCCCCCAATTCCTTGCCGGGGCGACGTCCCCCGCCACCCCGTATCCACCGGGCGGCGGGCGGCTGCGGGCGGCGGGCGCGGCTCAGAGCTCAGGGTGTTTGCTCGACAAATGTTGATATTTTCGTAGTTGTTTTCACCGACAACATTCACGCTGTTTGAGATGTCTCCTTTCGCCACCACTAGTGACACCCGCGTCGAAGAGCACCGCTGCGGACCGCGCGCTGCAGAGCAGAGCCGCATCGCGGCGGCCGAAAAAAAACCTCAGACAGGACTCTGTTATCTAGAATCACGTCAAGACTAGTCAAGACCTCCAGTTTCGACGAAAGGAAGTGATTGCTCGTTAACCTATTAAGTAGCCACCGGTGCAATACCAAGGTGCGGCAAAGATAAACCTCAAGCCTTTCTGTGCCTCAAGTGGGCTAATGGATGTGGCTCTTGAGTTCCTGAGTGCGAGCGAGAACGAGTCTGTGACGAAATCCCTACTCGGAATCAGCCTTCAGCGCTTGACGGCAGCGTGGCAAACAGAGGTCCAGCCCGTAGTGGTAATGGTAATGGCGGCTAGGCAATCCCGCCACGCAGCGCTGCCTGCTCGCTCCCGCACTGCCTACCCAGGCAGGCGCCCGCGCCCGACGTCCGGGAGGACGGGACCGGGAGGGGGGGGGGGGAGAAGATGAAGGGGACGAACGGTACGAAGCCATAGCCCAGCACGACGAGGCACAGCGCGCCACGAGCTCCCTTCGCCGCTTCGCCCGGCCCTTCTGCTCTCTCTCTCTCTCTCTCTCTCTCTCTCTGTCTCTCTCTCTCCTCTCATTCTCTCGCTCTCTCTCCGCTGGCGCATGGGCATAACGCTGCTGGGCGGGGCGGGGCGTCTGTGGGTGGCGCTGCAGAGAGGGTGGGCGGCTCATGTAATATTCACTACACGCCCATCAACCAGGGCCTCCACTGCCATCCCCTACCCTCCCCGTAGCATCCTGGCAGCGTGGCAGCCCTCTCTGGCGGCGGAGGGCCGCGCCGCAACACGCCGCCACGCTGCGTTCCGTGCGCCCCCTCAAACCTTCCATCCACCCATCCTCCGCCATGGCGAGGCCCGCGACGGCGCTAGGTCCACGATGGCGCCCAGTCCACGACGGCGCTGCTAGGTCGACGATGGTGCCGAGTCCGCGACCGCACTAGGTCCAGGACGGCGCTGTGACGGCTGTGCTCGAACCGCGGCCGCTGCTGCAACTGCGTGCACTGTGAGCGTCGCGAACCGAGCCTCGCCGGCGCCGTGTTCTTTGTTCTTTGCCATTCACCGCCGCGGTGCCCGCAGGGCTAGCCGCCGAGATGGCCCGTCTGCCGATTCGGTCGTGGCGGTCGCGGAGTGCCTGTGCTTACCCCCCCGCATACGCCGCGCTCCTGAAGCGGTTTGTCAAACTTTTTGGCCCCTTTTCCCTTTCCGATCCGCCGCTGATATTATTCATTCGGTGTGGCAGCGCGGCCGGGGCGGGGCGAGGCGCGGTGCGGCGGGGTCGATGGTGGGCGTTCTCAGGTGACGTGCGCTCTCTGATGACCCGGCCACTTCCGGCGGCACGCCCGTGCGCGTGGCGGCCGGCATGGTCACGTGCGGCACGTGCGCGGCGGGGCGGGGCGGGGCGGGGTGGGGTGGGGTGGGGCGGGCGGGGCGGGGCCCTCACTGCGGCAATCCCGTTAAAGCACTTGGAGCACGGCAACACTAACACTCTTCGCTGCAAAATGCATGGCTAAACCACCGACACGAAGAGCAACAACCAAACGAGTTGCTGCTAAGACAAAAGGAGCTCTGCCAGCGCGGCAGAGTGGCAGTGCGTTTCTTGCTTTCCTTGAAGAAGCTCGCCACCCCTTTTGCTTTGCGAACTGCAGCCGATTGTGATTACCAGTGTAGCGATTGGCTGAGCAAACGCCCCCCTCCCCTTGCCCCTCGCGAAGAGCCCAACTCTCGAGGCCGAGGAGAAGTGCAGCTGATACTATTAGCTTATTTCAACATCCCAGCAAACACCCGGCCGATTGGGGGAGGGGGGGGGCTATATCCACGCCTGAGCGCCCGGTGAGAAGAGGTCGCGGAAAAGAGGAGGGGTGATAGACTATGCATCACTGAAACATTCGGCGGGAAATTAATTGTATTACTGCATAGGAATGTGTGGACGGTTCCCGCCATTATTTTGGCCCA